TACCGACCAGAAGAACTGAAATCATACGAACCCACAGCTACTGTGATGAAGTGCCCTTCGCCACTTGTGCCTTGAGAGGACTAATTCCCAGCCTCCTGCCCTGCGACTATGGCCCCTGGAAGATATTGCTCTTTAGATACATTATTTGGGCATATTGGATTCCATTAGACTGGTTCTGGTCCTTTAAATGCTCTGACACAGAATCTGCAGTTTTGTTATGCACTTTGGATGCAGAGTGTGAAGAAAACCCCTGTTTTATGGACTTAGTTTGACTGTTTATTCCCCCCCCACACACACACACTTAGAACACCAGTTTAAACCCTTAATAACTGACATATTTTCAAACTCTGTCTGACCCTTTTAACTGTCATTTTGTTTTCCTCTTAGGAGGAGTTGTTTTGCTGCATGAGTGCTGTTGCTTTTGTGTGCTCATTAAACAGACCTGCTTGACCCTTTCTTGAAGCCTTGGCTCCTGCTTGGGGGGTGGGATAAGTCTGCAGTGCTGGTGGTGTCGGTTGGAGTGCTTGGAGTCCTCGCGACTATGGCCCCTGGAAGATTTTGCCTTTTAAAAACTTTATTTGGGCATAGTGGATTTTATTGTACTCTGTCTGCCCCTTTAAATTATATTGAAGCAGTGTGCAGCTATAAATTATGAAGAAAATCCCTGTTTTATCCCCTCCCACCCCCTTAGAACACAAGTTAAACGCTTAATACCTTGTTACATTCAAACTCTGTCTGAACCGTATAACTGTCATATATTCAAACACGACTGACCCAATAACTGTCATATATTCAAACACGACTGACCCAATAACTGTCATATACTGTCATATATTCAAACACTGACTGACCCAATAACTGTCATATATTCAAACACTGACTGACCCAATAACTGATATATATTTAAACACTGACTGACCCAATAACTGTCATATATTCAAACACCGACTGACCCAATAATTGTCATATATTCAAACACCGACTGACCCAATAACTGTCATATATTCAAACACTGACTGACCAAATAACTGTCATATATTCAAACACCGACTGACCCAATAACTGTCATATATTCAAACACCGACTGACCAAATAACTGTCATATATTCAAACACCAACTGACCCAATAACTGTCATATATTCAAACACCGACTGACCCAATAACTGTCATATATTCAAACACTGACTGACCAAATAACTGTCATATATTCAAACACCGACTGACCCAATAACTGTCAGATATTCAAACACCGACTGACCCAATAACTGTCATATATTCAAACACTGACTGACCAAATAACTGTCATATATTCGAACACCGACTGACCCAATAACTGTCATATATTCAAACACTGACTGACCCAATAACTGATATATATTCAAACACTGACTGACCCAATAACTGATATATATTTAAACACTGACTGACCCAATAACTGTCATATATTCAAACACCGACTGACCCAATAATTGTCATATATTCAAACACCGACTGACCCAATAACTGTCATATATTCAAACACTGACTGACCAAATAACTGTCATATATTCAAACACTGACTGACCAAATAACTGTCATATATTCAAACACCGACTGACCCAATAACTGTCATATATTCAAACACCGACTGACCAAATAACTGTCATATATTCAAACACTGACTGACCAAATAACTGTCATATATTCAAACACCGACTGACCCAATAACTGTCATATATTCAAACACCGACTGACCAAATAACTGTCATATATTCAAACACCGACTGAATTCAAATAACTGTCATATATTCAAACACCGACTGACCCACAATCAGTCAGATATTCAAACACCGACCGACCCAATAACCCAAGCCTATTCAAACGACCGATTGACCCAATAATTGTCATATATTCAAACACCGACTGACCCAATAACTGTCATATATTCAAACACCGACTGACCCAATAACTGTCATATATTCAAACACCGACTGACCCAATAATTGTCATATATTCAAACACCGACTGACCCAATAACTGTCATATATTCAAACACTGACTGACCAAATAACTGTCATATATTCAAACACCGACTGACCCAATAACTGTCAGATATTCAAACACCGACTGACCCAATAACTGTCATATATTCAAACACCGACTGACCCAATAATTGTCATATATTCAAACACCGACTGACCCAATAACTGTCATATATTCAAACACTGACTGACCAAATAACTGTCATATATTCAAACACTGACTGACCAAATAACTGTCATATATTCAAACACCGACTGACCCAATAACTGTCATATATTCAAACACCGACTGACCAATAACTGTCATATATTCAAACACCAACTGAAATAACTGTCATATATTCAAACACCGACTGACCCAATAACTGTCATATATTCAAACACTGACTGACCAAATAACTGTCATATATTCAAACACCGACTGACCCAATAACTGTCATATATTCAAACACCGACTGACCCAATAACTGTCATATATTCAAACACCGACTGACCAAATAACTGTCATATATTCAAACACCAACTGACCCAATAACTGTCATATATTCAAACACCGACTGACCCAATAACTGTCATATATTCAAACACTGACTGACCAAATAACTGTCATATATTCAAACACCGACTGACCCAATAACTGTCAGATATTCAAACACCGACTGACCCAATAACTGTCATATATTCAAACACTGACTGACCAAATAACTGTCATATATTCGAACACCGACTGACCCAATAACTGTCATATATTCAAACACTGACTGACCCAATAACTGATATATATTCAAACACTGACTGACCCAATAACTGATATATATTTAAACACTGACTGACCCAATAACTGTCATATATTCAAACACCGACTGACCCAATAACTGTCATATATTCAAACACCGACTGACCCAATAACTGTCATATATTCAAACACTGACTGACCAAATAACTGTCATATATTCAAACACTGACTGACCAAATAACTGTCATATATTCAAACACCGACTGACCCAATAACTGTCATATATTCAAACACCGACTGACCAAATAACTGTCATATATTCAAACACCAACTGACCCAATAACTGTCATATATTCAAACACCGACTGACCCAATAACTGTCATATATTCAAACACTGACTGACCAAATAACTGTCATATATTCAAACACCGACTGACCCAATAACTGTCAGATATTCAAACACCGACTGACCCAATAACTGTCATATATTCAAACACTGACTGACCAAATAACTGTCATATATTCGAACACCGACTGACCCAATAACTGTCATATATTCAAACACTGACTGACCCAATAACTGATATATATTCAAACACTGACTGACCCAATAACTGTCATATATTCAAACACTGACTGACCCAATAACTGTCATATATTCAAACACTGACTGGCCCAATAACTGATATATATTTAAACACTGACTGACCCAATAACTGTCATATATTCAAACACTGACTGACCCAATAACTGTCATATATTCAAACACTGACTGACCCAATAACTGTCATATATTCAAACACTGACTGACCCAATAACTGATATATATTTAAACACTGACTGACCCAATAACTGTCATATATTCAAACACTGACTGACCCAATAACTGTCATATATTCAAACACTGACTGACCCAATAACTGTCATATATTCAAACACTGACTGACCCAATAACTGTCATATATTCAAACACCGACTGACCCAATAACTGATATATATTCAAACACCGACTGACCCAATAACTGATATATATTCAAACACTGACTGACCCAATAACTGATATATATTTAAACACCGACTGACCCAATAACTGTCATATATTCAAACACTGACTGACCCAATAACTGATATATATTTAAACACTGACTGACCCAATAACTGTCATATATTCAAACACTGACTGACCCAATAACTGTCATATATTCAAACACCGACTGACCCAATAACTGTCATATATTCAAACAATGACTGACCCAATATTCAAACACTGACTGACCCAATATTCAAACACTGACTGACCCAAGAACTGTCTAGGACTAGGATTCAGAAACAAAGGGATTTAACTCCTAAATGGCAGAGGATTGAGCAATGAGGCTGCAGTGGAATATTCTATACACCAAAACTGCTTCATTAAGCTAAAGTTGTTCAGGTGACTATAGTGTCCCTTTAAGATTATATAAAAATATAGAAATGTATTTTTAATGTCATTTTCTTGAACACAGACACATTCATTTTCGTTGATTCCTTCATTTATTTCAGTAAATCAGAGCAAAGCAGTGAAGGTTGTCAGAGAATAATTTAGAGACATTTTCTGAGATTATAACGTGTATGTATAAAAAGTGTCTCTAACGTTTAGAAATCTTTCTTAGTGCTATCCTTATGTCTTGGTTTCTTAGACTGTATACTAAAGGGTTAAACAGGGGGGTAAACACAGTATGCAGCAATGATATAATCTTATTCAAGATCAATACATTTCCTAAGGATGGAATCATATACTTTATTATTAATGTCCCATAGAATGCACCAACCACGAGAAGGTGGGAACTGCAGGTTGAAAAGGCTTTCTGTCTTCCGGTTGTAGAAGGGATCCTAAGTATCATAAGGAAGATATGAATATAAGTCACTATGATAAAACCACAAGGACAAATAAAAAAAGGAGTAGAACATACAATGCCTATAAATTCCGCCAGAGACGTGTCAGAACATGAAAGTTTTTGGAGAGGGGAAAGGTCACAATATATATGGTCAATGATGTTTCCATCACAGAACTGAAAGTTGGATATAGGTATGAATCCAAATAGGTTTGTGGTAAATCCTAACATCCAGGGCAAGACAGACAGACAGGTACGCAATGTAAAGTCCATGATAGTGATGTAACGCAATGGGACACATATAGCCAGGTATCGATCAAAGGACATCACTGCAAGCAGGAAACATTCTGTAACAGTAATACCACTAAAGAAATACAATTGAGTTATACAGCCAAGAATTGTCATAACTTTCCCACCATGTAAGATTGCTCCCATCAGGTTAGGTAAAGTATTTGTTGAGAGCACAATATCAGACAATGATAGATGACAAAGAAAGAAGTACATGGGAGAATGAAGGTGATGGCTGATGGAAACTAACACAATGATCAGAAGATTTCCAGTTACTGTGATTAGGAAAATGTTAAGGAATATGATGAAAATTAAAATGTTGAAGCCATAAAGATTTCCAAAGCCTAGAAGTATGACTTCTGTGACTCTCGATTCATTCCTCACAGTCATAGTCCATCCAACTCTATGTAGATGTGACACTTTTCAATCTAAAAAAATATAAAAACATGTGTATATTATTTTCATGTACAGAATAAAGAGGTATGGCAACAGTTCAAGATTAATTAAAGGTAATCATTTTTTTTAAGTTAAGTGTAACTAAATCCAAAGTTTAAGACTCTCTGCTAATAGTTTTTCTAATTTCTGATGTTTTTCCCATGGTGGACCGCCAACTTATTTTCTCCATAACCTTGTCTAGTTGGCACTGGTATTTAGAGATTCTTATCTTACCTTTCCCAGTCCTCCAGGGCTTGACAAAGACCTCTTAGTAGGTCAAAACGTTGCTGCTGTTTTCTGTTCTATTAAAACTGCCTGTGGCTTGAACACCTTGAGTACCTTATCATTGTGGGATTGCTGGTTGTGCTCCGGAGCACTGGGTGGCTGCTGGGATTGAGTGCAGCTCCTATCTTCATTGTTGCAATATCCTCTTCCCTCGGCTCATCTCTGGATCTCCTCACCAGCTCCACACCTATCGTAGTAAATCATAACGATGTACAGTTTTTGCTGGTTTATAGGTAAGACTCAGGACTCTTTCCCCCATCTCCAACAACAACGACAGTGGTGTGTCAAATGCAGCTCTGGCCACCAATAGACAACCCTTCCACAGATCATGATCCATTTCACAATCTCTGAAAACATCTGCCAATGAATGCTCAGTTATTGATAACACTTTGGTGTTGTGGGGAGTTTCAGTGGAACTCCTTCTTAAATGTATCTAAAATATAATTATAGCCATCATTATAGTGTTAAGCAGATTAATTCCTTAGACAACACAATTTAAAAAACAATGCTTATTTAATAGATTTATTTGTAAAACAATTTAAAAAACTGTTATAAAAAAAGAGGGTTTTTAGAAAATAAGTTGCAATATGTTAAAAGTCAAGAGGAAAGAGAAAAATTCTAATATGGATAGAAAATCAGGACTCAAATAAAGGATTAATTAATATTACTTAATTACTATTAGACTAATGTTAAATTTTTTGTCATATTTTTAAGGAGCATTGGTCGTATCATTAAAGAATGTTATCTGTTAATCCTGGAATTTCAGAATTTACCTGTGATGTCATTTGAACGAGGCAATGTGATTAGAGAACACTTAGGTTGTGCTGATATGAAACCTAATACATTTACACCTGTTCCTTGTTTTGGACAAACAGAACTATAGACAGAGAGGGAGCTCACATGGGGCATACTGGATGCAGGATATTAATTTGAACACAGTTATAACTGATCAATCATTGTCATATTATATAAATAAAGATCAAATAGAATTTAATAAACAGTACATGACATTAAGACAGAATATTTTTTTGCAATTTACATTTTTAGTAAAGAACATATCACTTTGCTGCAAAACATACCATGTATAAATCATGGTAATATTTTAGTATCTGCACAGTTTAATGGATTGTGGCATTAACCAGAATTTAGAAAGGGAAAAAGCATTTTAAGTCTTATTTTTGCCATTTAGATTTTCATTTAGACACACGGGGTTATTCACTAAAGTGTGAATTGTAGTGAGTTGAAAATCAAATTGCAGATTTTATTCTGAAATGTTTTGGAAATGTTTGCCCAACTCAGCAATTTTTGCAATTTTACTATTTTCGGCTAAATATTGTCATTCGGTTTTCAATTTACCATCATTTGAAGTTTAGTGAATTAAACCGTGAAAAAACAATCTGCATTATTGCCTTGAAAGTCACTTGTCGGTAATGCATAATTATATTACCAAAAACCAAGTAAAAAGAAGATGGTGCTAAAACAATTTAATTGAAAGAACTATTCGCTACTGGGAGCTGCACCTTACAAATGTAATAACTCAGAAAAACACGATAACATAAAATCAACCAAAAAGGTGCACTATATCTATAAATCTTGAATAGTGACTCACTCTATTATTCACTTTGATGAATTGTGTTGCAATAAATATAAAGTACCACTCATGCTGTGCAAATAGGATCATTATTATACTATAAAATGTATAAAACCATGCAACCTCTATAAAGTTTAATTTTAGTGTAAAGTGGATCACACTTTACTCACATATACAGGACATTTAGTAGCAACACAATCAAAATTGGTGTGTACATAAAAAAATTAAATTAAACACATATAGAGTAACATTGTTAGATACAATAATTTAATAAGGGCAGATTGAATGCGACTCACAAGCCAGGAGTAGGTAAGCATGCTCAGGCTACAAGAGATTTTCTCCCCCTCCAATATAGTGCACAGATGACAGGTGGACCCAATATCGAATAGACAGAGCAGACAAACCTTCAAAAACACTTTAATAATGCAAATGATAAATCTGCTCTATAAAAATTATAATTAAAATAATGTAATGAACTTAAAGTTGCAGCCCACAAAAACTGAACTAGAAACATCGATGGCTTGCCGTTTTTTTTTCTAATTTAGCCGTGTTTGCATTTAATTTTAAGTTCACTTTAATTTTACTTTGAATTGTCGGCAATTCATGCTTTTTTAACTAAACGCCACATTACCAAGGATTTAAATCTGAGTTACAAAACTGAGGCTAAAATTCTCATGCTGTGACTTTAGAAGATTTTTTCCAGATCAGCAAATTTTAACTGCATTTTGTGATACAGATTTCAGAATTCTAAAATGTGTTTAGTAAATAGAACAAACCCCTGAGAGACTGCAATTACAATGCTAAACAAAACATGAAATTAGATTGTACTAAAACAATCTTCCAGCATATTAAAATATATACAGCGATTTCCAAACATATAGCCAGGTCAGTGCCCTCTATCATTTAATAAACCATTTATTATCTTGTTATAAGATATTATATATCTTGTTTAACTCAAGATTTCATTATTTTTTGTCGGATATTCTTAAAAAAAAATTAGAAAGAAATCTTAGCACATGCATCCTGGTAAAACACGTTTTAAAATAAATTAGTATAATTACTTACCAAAAGACTTCTTTGAAATCTGGTTACTGTATGCAGGAAATAGGAGAAAAATAATTTTAATTAAATTTTTTGCAACTCATCCGAAATAAGACTCGGCTTCACGCCAGGGCTCCATCAAAGCCATATTAGATGTTTGAAATAATGCTAAGACGGTCTGTGATCCTCTTTTATATTTTACGCTGTTTATGCCGGGGGAGTTTAGTGGAACGTCCCTGTAGTGCTGGAGTTTAGAGTTAAAGGATTTCATCATGCAGGAAATAAAAGTTTTTGCAATATTTAAAGTTTAAGGTTTGCTCCAACAAATGATTCATGTAAGGCATGAACATGCTCAGTAAATGTTATCAAGTGACAACTAACCAATAGAGTAGAACAAAGAAATAGCAGTAAAGCAATCTATTCTTCAAAGCAGAATAATTGCAGACACTGTGACTGCAGCGAGTGAGAGAGACAGGCCTCTATTGACCTATTTACCTTTGCTGTGCCTGTGTGGTAGTGGGAGATAGCCAAGATCATTGATTCTAGAGTGAGACTAGGTTTAGATTGCTGCTGCATCTACTTCACTAGCCAGTGCTAGTAGCACTTGAAATAACTTTTTGAGTTATTTTAGTAAACTATGCATTCAAAGTGTTTTTATAGAGAATTTTTAACATTTTAGGCTGGAGGAGCTGGACTGAAAGCATAGCTGATTTACAGAATTTTCCTAGTTTTAAATTTGCTATTAAAGCTTAGATTTTAAATCACTTTGAATTCAAAATTTACAAAATAAGTCTGTTAAACTTAGAGATAGAGGATTGTCATTGTTTCAGTGATCCTAGTGTGAGAATAGTTTCAAGGTATTGCTGTATCTATTGTCGGACTGGAAAAGATTTGACCTGGGCATTATTTGGCAGAGCAGCCCAATATGAGATATGGGGCCTGAGAGGGGGCATGTTGTGTCATCAACAATGACATGCTAAAGTGTGCGTCAGCTGGTGCTCTCACATAGGGAAATTCTAATAAATTGGTTTAACTCAGTGCAAGATCTAAAGAAACACTACTGCTCTTATTTTTTGTTATATATTTTTGCAATGCATAATGGTACATGCAGGCCCGAGGTACCCCAACGGCAATCCTCAAGCTCCATATCATGCTTTACAGTTGGAATAGTATAGCAAACATGCACAATTTTATATTATATTAGAATCAGGCTTAACCGGGAGAGGATTGACTAAACAGGGGCAGATTGACAGGTCGGGCAGATCGGTCATGGACCGAGGGCCCGAGGCAGCCAGGGGCCTGGCAGCACAGCCATGCTCTGGCCGAGGAGATCAGAGATCTCCTCAGCCAGAAAAACATGATTTCTCCCATACTCCAGTAATATCGTGCAGGGCCCCTGTAACATATCACTCTGCAGGGCCCCTGTAACATATCGATGGAACTGTATTTCCTGACCAGCTAGGAGAGCGCTTTTCGGTACTTTAATGTATTCGTATGAGGGGAACAATCACTCCTATGAGCTAGGAGGCTCCATTTGTGGATTATGGAGTTATTTTACATTTTCAGAATTGACCGACCGCACACGCTGAATTCGTGGAACTATTTTGGGCAAGAGCTTCGTGCGGTCGGTAACTTAAGAATTCCACACTTTTTAAAAACCCCTGAACCGATCTGGGTGAAATTTGAATATGTTGTTCCCCCAGATCGGGGCTATCAGGGGATGTGACATTTGTGGGGATACTTTAAGCATAAAGGGATGTTCTGAGTTTTGGGGAAAATGTGTGCACTTCACCTGGAGATAATTGGGTTATTCCTTAACTTATCTCATTATCTCACAGGCGAAGACAAGGAGTGTTCAAGTGTAACTGTACCTTATGATTGGCTATTTGGTTTGTGTACTGTGGGAGGTCCTCCTGCAAGGGAACCTCCATAAAAGCCTGTGTGGTCTCAATAAACCTTCATCATGTTTCAGCTGGTGTTTTGGTACCTGATTACTACTTGGGGAAAGCTGTACTAGAGGATTTCGTTTCTTTGGACTTTAACTACCGACCAGAAGAACCAAAATCATACGAACCCATAGCTACTGTGATGAAGTGCCCTTCGCCGCTTGTGCCTTGAGAGGACTAATTCCCAGCCTCCTGCCCTGCGACTGTGGCCCCTTTAGATACATTATTTGGGCATATTGGATTCCATTAGACTGGTTCTGGCCCTTTAAATGCTCTGACAAAGGATCTGCAGTTTTGTTATGCACTTTGGATGCAGAGTGTGAAGAAAACCCCTGTTTTATGGACTTAGTTTGACTGTTTATTCCCCCTAACCCCACTTAGAACACCAGTTTAACCCTTAATAACTGTCATATATTCAAACTCTGTCTGACCCTTTTAACTGTCAGTTTGTTTTCCTCTGAGGAGGAGTTGTTTTGCTGCATGAGGGCTGTTGCTTTGTGTGCTC